CTGATGATATTGTGCTAGTGTGTACCATGCCTGATGATATTGTGCAATATTGAATGTTTAGCATGTGACATTGGTGGACCATAGACCAGGTATAGTAAATAGAACCAATCAATGAATTAAAACAGGATTCAATGTTTGAAGTTGGAAGTGCTGTATAAAATACAACTGAAATATTAAACTGCTAAGACAGTAACTATTGAGAACAATGTGATATTGGACTGGGTTAACTTTTTCCCTAGCACACCTCATTCAAGATGGCTGCCTGCAGTTATCTCCAAGATGACTGACAAGATGACTGACAATATGACTGACAAGATGACTGACAATATGACTGACAAGATGGCTGACAAGATGACTGACAAGATGTTGCTTACTGGTCAAATGCAACTAGTGTCGAAAGTTAGAAAACAAACACCTTGTACACAAGTTCTATGAGCATCATCAAAAACATCGACCTAAATATCACACAAAGACCATAACATTTTTCCATAATCCTCTTGTCTATAGGATTAAGGAAATAAGGTTATACAGTAAGGCAATAATTGATTTATTGATAAAGGTAGGGCAGTTATTGACTAATTGATAAAAGTAGGCGATAATTGACTAATGGATAAAGGTAGGACAATAGTTGACTTATTGATAAAGGTAGGACAGTTATTGACTAATGGATAAAGGTAGGCGATAATTGGCAAATGGATAACGGTAAGGCAATAATTGACTCATTGATAAAGGTAGGGCAGTTATTGACTAATTGATAAAGGTAGGGCAATAATTCACTTATTGATAACGGTAAGGCAATAATTGACTGCATGATACAGGTACGATAACACTGACTAATTGATAAAGGTAGGACAATAATTGACTTATTGATCAAGGTAGGACAAAAAATGACTTATTGATCAATGTAGGACAATAATTGATTAATTGATAAAGATAGGACAATAAGTCACTACTTGATACAGGTAGGAAAATAATCGACTAATTGATAAGGGTAGAGTAATGCATCAATGATAGATAAGGCTATATAGGTCTCATGAAGTATAATCCCTAGTTATATATACCCGGATATAATCCCTAGTTATATATACCCGGATATAATCCCTAGTAATATATACCCAGATATAATCCCTAGTTATATATACCCGTATATAATCCCTAGTTATATATACCCGAATATAATCCCTAGTTATATATACCCGGATATAACCCTAGTTATATATATCCGGATATAATCCCTAGTTATATATACCCGAATATAATCCCTAGTTATATATACCCGGATATAATCCCTAGTTATATATACCCGAATATAATCCCTAGTTATATATACCCGAATATAATCCCTACTTATATATACCCGGATATAATCCCTAGTAATATATACCCAAATATAATCCCTAGTTATATATACCCGGATATAATCACTAGTTATATATACCCGGATATTATCCCTAGCTATATATACCCGGATATAATCCCTAGTTATATATACCGGATATAATCCCTAGTTATATATACCCGGATACAATCCCTAGTTATATATACCTGGATATAATCCCTAGTTATATATACCCGGATATTATCCCTAGTTATATATACCCGGATATAATCCCTAGTTATATTTACCCGGATATAATCCCTAGTTATATATACCCGAATATAATCCCTACTTATATATACCCGGATATAATCCCTAGTTATATATACCCGGATACAATCCCTAGTTATATATACCCGGATATAATCCCTAGTTATATATACCCGGATATAACCTTAGTTATATATATCCGGATATAATCCCTAGTTATATATACCCGAATATAATCCCTAGTTATATATACCCGGATATAACCTTAGTTATCTATATCCGGATATAATCCCTAGTTATATATACCCGGATACAATCCCTAGTTATATATACCTGGATATAATCCCTAGTTATATATACCCGGATATTATCCCTAGTTATATATACCCGGATATAATCCCTAGGTATATTTACCCGGATATAATCCCTAGTTATATATACCCGGGTATAACCTTAGTTATATATATCCGGATATAATCCCTAGTTATATATACCCGAATATAATCCCTAGTTATATATACCCGAATATAACCCTTACTTATATATACCCGGATATAATCCCTAGTTATATATACCCGAATATAATCCTTACTTATATATACCCGGATATAATCCCTAGTTATATATACCCGGATACAATCCCTAGTTATATATACCCGGATATAATCCCTAGTTATATTTACCCGGATATAATCCCTAGTTATATATCCCCGGATATAATCCCTAGTTATATATACCCGAATATAATCCCTAGTTATATATACCCGAATATAATCCCTAGTTATATATACCCGAATATAATCCCTAGTTATATATACCCGAATATAATCCCTAGTTATATATACCCGAATATAACCCTTACTTATATATACCCGGATATAATCCCTAGTAATATATACCCAGATATAATCCCTAGTTATATATACCCGGATATAATCCCTAGTTATATATACTCGGACGTTATTGATTGCTGACATTTCATTATGCTTCAAATGTGGTGAATGTGTTGTTTCTAAAGCCCTTGTTTTATCCTCACACTTCAATACACAACCAAGAGAACTAATTATCTACCAACAAATCAACAAGTCAATGCATTTTTAATTGTGTAATATTGATTTGTTTTTCACGATTACCAAATACGTGTATGATATTTCAGATGAACATGATAATCTACAGTGTTGTTCTTGCTTGTAAATACATTTCTTACAATTAAGTTGGTTTCCTAACAACAACCTATTTACCAATTCTAGAGGTCCTGGTGTAACATAGGTATTGTTACGAAAGGTAAGTGTTGAGACATAAACAAGTGGCGAGGGATCACATGTACGCGTGGCTAGAAATCTACGTCGGACGTAAATAGCGATACGCATCATTGATATATACAATTGTGTTCAATAGGGTGTGACGCACCCTACACAAGTGCTCTGCACTGAGATCTGCGTGGCTTCTGCCATCCGTCGTTTGTCAGCCTTACTGACTTATATATAGGGCCAGTGCAAACACAGCATCTCACAAGTAGAGTGTGATGTCAACTTCTCTCCATTGGTGTTTTAGGGACAGTTAACGGTGTGGTATTGAGTGTTTATGACGACTAAGGATGGGTATATTCAAAACAAGGATGGTCAGTGGGAATTTAAATATGACTGTTTTGCCAAAATAGTTGTAGCGAGACCCCCGCTAAGAACACTTGTTACGGTGTATATACGGGCCAGATAAGGGCGGCTGAGGAGGATCGATTTGAACTGACTGTGTGAGAACAGCTGTGTTCAGTACTCTCCACAGGCAATTACAGAAGTGTCGCGGTATAACTGGACATGCACGTGAATTACAGTTTATAAAAAAAGTCACCATGGACTTTTCGGGGAATACGTCCGAGTTCAACATGACTCCTAGTTCAGCAGACGAGCATGACTATAAGGATTTCTACGATCCGAGTAGCTTTAACTATCCTCTAGAATTAGAGGCTCAGCCGTTTATACAGGTGGTAGCCAAAATCTCTGTGTATGCAGTAATCATACTGACCGCTCTAGTCGGGAATCTACTGGTCATCCTAGTGGTGGTCAAAAACAAGAGAATGAGGACAACCACCAACTACTTTATAGTGAACCTGGCCGTGTCGGACCTGATGGTCATCGTGTGGTGCTGTTGGGTCTACCTCGTGGATGATTTGTCCGAAGGATGGATTCTCGGCAATTTCTTTTGTAAATTCAACAGCTTTGCTCAAGGTATGTCACTTCAAGTTACACTAATTTTAGGTATCAAGGTATGTCACTTCAAGTTACACTAACTTTAGGTATCAACGTATGTCACTTCAAGTTACACCAACTTTAGGTATCAAGGTATGTCACTTCAAGTTACACTACCACTAGGAATTGCTACTCAATGCGTATACTAACATTTGATGACAAAAATGGCCGCATAAATTGATTGGTCTCAATAACCTACCCACAGGTACTGTCTCAATAAAATATCCGCAGGTATAGTCTCAATAAACCAACCACAGGTTTGATCTAAATAAACCACCTACAGGTATTGTCTCAATAAACTACCTACAGGTATGGTCTCAATAAACTACCTACAGGTATGGTATCAATAAACTACCTACAGGTATTGTCTCAATAAACTACCTACAGGTATGGTATCAATAAACTACCTACAGGTATTGTCTCAATAAACTACCTACAGGTATTGTCTTAATAAACTACTCGCAGGTATGGTCTCAATAAACTACCCGAAGGAATGGTCTCAATAAACTACCTACAGGTATGGTCTCAATAAACTACCTACAGGTATGGTATCAATAAACTACCTACAGGTATGGT